AGTATGCAGTACTATAACATTTTTCAGAGTTCATCTGGTGCGCTGCTCGAAATTCTTGTCTGAACTTGAGTTGCTTCATTTTTGAACACCTGTTCTATTGTTAATATTTCAATATTCTCATAAATGTCATTACTAATTTACTTTTCGGCTGGTCTTGATAGATGGTTATACATGACCTTTTTTAGAAAAAAAGAAAAAAGAGTCTCTTCACATCGTGGTTCCTCCGCCGAAAGTAAGGTGAGTTTATTTGATTTGATTGAGTTTTTGATTGCAATTCAGAAGAAAACATCTCACTCAGCATCCACTTCGTTGAACAAGTCTCCTTGATATTAATTCGTTAGCGGTGAGAATGTGGAAGCGCGATTTCCTCGATTACCCTGCTCACCATAAAATTTGAATCACTCAACTTCCCTGAACATTTAGTTATAACATCACTCTCGAAAAATAATAAGAAATCATGTACACGTAAGATCACAAAAACAGTAAGTTGGCAGCGAGTATAGCAGTGATGACATCTCAGTGATATCGTCTAGGTCATAGGGTTCACTGTAGGTGTTGGGAAGTGCATTGAGAGGACTGAGAGAGTACGGTGAGGTCCCAGCGGGTCAATCGTACCTCCCAGCCTTTTGTCGTCAGTTAACTGGTACTGAAGTCTGTAGCGAAGACGCTCTTATGATAACTCATATGGCATTTTCTTGAAAACACGTAGCCTATTCACGCAATATCTTAGAATGGTGGAAGATATTTTTATAAAAAGCAACCTTTTCAAGGTATGGGTGGAGGTAAGAAAGCCCTGAAATAAAAACACTTTCCAAAAGCACAATTGAAATGCTTTTTTTCTCTTAGGAAAGCCAAATGAAAGTTGCACAAGAAGCGTTCGCCATATGATCCGGAATATAAGACGCTGGAGTTGGACATCAGTGAATGGGAAAGCGTGAAAGTTTTGAAACGTAATGAAATCGATCCAGAAGATCTGAAGAAAGAGTATAGGGTCGGCGATAATAAGCAACTTGATTAGCTTATCCGACCAACCAACCAATCGTTCTGTTTCAGGCGTCACCATTACCACCACTAACAGGTATTAATTTCTTTCTTCTTGCTATTTATAGAAGCATTTTTGAATCTTGACCGATCTACATCCGGATTTGAAATTACCACTTAGGTAAAGAGTCCCAAATAAGGTAGAAAAGGGAATTATTTTGACTAGGATGTTTCAAATCAAAATTTTTGCATTGTGCAATAAAAGCTTCACAGCTGGAAAACTGGCACCATAATTTGTTTGGAAGGTTAAGAAAGCACGACGCGAAACATTGTCAGGTTACCACAAATCGCTGTTTGCTGTTCAGACAATGCAGCTCGATTTCTTCAAAGCTAAGAATTGACCAGTAATCATTTGTTCCTTCTAGTCTCTTTTACCATTGTGCTACACGACTCTCTGAATTGGCTATAAGCTGAAACATCCTTATTACATATGAAATTATTCAAAGACACTTCATAGGTTCCCAGTCACATCACCTGTATTCTGTCCTGTTATGAAACACCATACAATCAAGTTTCGCTTGTTTTTCAAATCACAAATTTGTTTTTGACTCTGAAAAACAGAACAATCGAATGTAAGAGTTGTTGTTCTCCTTCTTTTTAGAATACCACATTTTTTAATGTTGGTTCAATACTGATTCAACATTTTTAGTGATATTTTCAGATGACAAAGAGAAACGTGACGTGCCAGCCCACGCATAACTTTGGTTTAGGTTTTTTCATACCTACTAAAATGAATATTATTATGAAAATGTCTGCATTGTTTCTCATCTCTTTTCAGACACTGATTTTACTTGTAATGAGTTAAGAAAGACAGTTTGCCGTTTGATTTCGGTTTTCCTGTACTGATTATTTTTCTTTATAAATTCCATTAACTTTGTAGTCTGTTGTGTCAGATTCTGATATAATTTTAACATGAAGGAATTTGATTGAAACCGTAGTCATCGACGAGATGAAACATATTAAGCATATAACGAACTGTTGGAATAGAACATTTGACGTACATTTGTAATCGAGTTCATATGAGGGAAGTTGTGAGTGAGAGGACTCTGCACGTTTGGTAATAATTATTCCAAGGTACCACACACAGGTGACTAAAGAATAAAATGATGGTATCAAAGAAATGTTATTCTGTACAAGATGAAAACAATTTCCATAATTTAATTTTTAAAATTAGGTGATGCCATCCGACGATGTTTTCTTGAATTATGATGTATAATACTGCTGCCGTCCGTTCCTCCACGTGGTCGATTAATTTATAATCCATAGAATCGATTGCTTTTAATTTTTTTTGGATTATTTTATAGTTTGTTCATTCAATTTCCCATCTCAGAATGCTGTCATTACCTTTTCGTCGAACAGTTGTTGCTGCACAGCTAATTAAATTGCGCAGATTTAAAGCACGGCTTTTGCCACATTATAACACTTGGCAGCCCCACTGAACCAGTGCAAATTAATATCTAAGACTCCAACCACAAAATGGCAAAAGCGGCACTAAATCTTGATAGAGGTCTACATACTAGTGTTTCAAGACACCATGCACTTGTAATTCATTTTGAAAGCATTTGCTGACTCGAGTTGCAATCTCTGAGCAAACAGAGTTGCAAACAGTAACTTATTATTGTGTGTAAGGTACTTATATGTTTGACGGCGACCAATCGAAAACCGAACTGAACTTTCATTTGCTGAATAGGAACTTTTTATAGGAATGTTAAAATTACTCGAAAGCTTGAATTTCTGGCTACATTTCACATAGCTGTCTATTGAGAAGGCTCTCTTATAACGCTGTAAAATCCAAAACAAAACTATTCACATCCTTAATGCGCCTTCATTTTCATCACGCGTATAACTCGCTGAGAGTACAAAAAGCACATAAACTTGTAGAGAAACTTCCGTAGTATCTGAATGAATCGTTTTATCTAGAGTTTCCTTCAAAGCGGAGAAAAAAGCCCTAATTGAGTAATAATGTGTCAATTGTAATCGATCGCCACGCCTCGCCCAGCACCTGCCCTCTCCGTTCTCGTGAGTTGGCCTGTAAAGAAACCGCCAAAAATGTGAAACTCGATTTTATTCTTTCTGCTAAATGGTATTTCCAGAAAATACGCACAAAGTTGGAATTATTGGAACCTACGGTTCCGATTGTTTACTAAGAGTTCAAAGAGAGCTCTGTGCGACGATATGAAAAGCACAAGTCTTTTCTTTCTCCTGCTATCGAAAAAGCTTTTCCAAAAAGGAAACACATTTTTGAGTCCTTCGAAACTTGTGCTATTGAATGAGTACTAGTACCTCAAGGAAGGAGTTCTGTTCAGCGAAATGCAAGCGAGATGAGAAAAAAACACGTACTCGCATGAAGCACAATTTTATTTCGGACTTAACAGCGTTTTAAGAGGGTGTTATGCAACATAGGCCACGTGCAGCCGAGACTTTGAAAGATTATTAACACTTCTATGAGAAATTCCTGTCCTGCGAGTGAGATCGCTTTTTTATTTGTCGCCGTCTAACATCTAAGTACCTGTGTAACATTTAAGCTACTCAAAACTAAGGATTTGCTGTTCAAACCACTTTTCAAAATTATAGTTTGATACAGGTCCTTCCACAAGTTTGGCACTAGAGTAATAAGCACCAAATCTGTTGACCAGAAGTTATTAAAACTGGCATGGTTTTGGCATTGTTCAAATGCCAATTTTTTGTGGACATTTTAGTATTTGGAGCTGTCGTGGAAAACAAATTTGCTTGTTACACATGCACGAATAGCGTTTAGGGAAAAATGCTAGTGAAGTGGCACGCAAGAATGATGGAGCTTATTGTGAACGGCCCGAAGACGACTAATCTTCCGAACTATTCTCTTTAGCTTTGAACTTTCAAACGGCTTCCTAACCGTCCTTTCTGCACCAGTGGTATCGCCCATAACTCCATTAATCTTGAGCGTCGCTTCACAAGCATTTTCCTTTGCGCGCCATTCGTGCATGAGTAGCAAGCAAATTTGTTCTCAAGACAGCTCCATCTTCAAGCACGTATAGGCAAGCTGTATACCTAAATCCTCGCAAGAAGATGCTCAATTCAGCGATACTAAAATTATGCCATCTTAACCACTCTGATTAACAAACTTGGTGCTTATTGCTCTAATGCCAATACTTATAAAGATCCGATATTTACTGTAAAATTTAGAAAAAACTGCAGCAGAATATGAGTGCATTAGTACAGTAGTTACATAAACAGTCAGAGCACTCAGCGATTGTTTTTTAGAATTTGGATTGCTGATTTCTTTCGGATAACGTTTAAGGGATAACTCACATTCCTTTTTGAGCAGATACTAGGTTGTTAGCAGTTGAAAGGATAGATTACACGAAAGAGATTTAGTGCCAGAATAATGTAAACAGCCATCATTGTTCGACTCTAAAGGAATCTGTAAAATTGTCACTGTCGTGATTTCAGTACATGTGACGACAAGACTTATCGGGCAATATTCAAAGTGTTGCGAATATTTCATGTGGAATATTTGCAAATTTAAGATCGAGTTTTGCGTAGATGTGGTGGATAGCTTCTCTACTACTAAGTTACGTGCGCTTTGACACTGCTGTAGAGAAGTTCTTGGTCCACATACAGAAAAAGGCATATGAAGAGCTCGAGGTTCATCAAGCTTTCCATTTCTCCGTAGTCGGTTAGATTGGTGTCAGACTTGTGTGGAAGGGTAGCAGTACTGACTTGATACATCGATGGGTCACCGCAAGTCATCATATAGGCCACATATGCATTGAATCACCTCTAACGAATCTAGATGAAGCCAGATGAAAAGAGTCTTCCTAAAGGATTGCTCAACGCAAAGAGCTTTATCCCTAATCCTGTACGTTTACTGTTTTTCCACAATCACAAAACGAATGAGAATAGGCATATCCAAAGATGCTGAGTGACATGTAAAGCTTTGGATCTCAGTACTGAAGAAAAATGGTAGCAAAGCGGTGGCCTAGGTGGCGTAGCGGTAGCGTGCATTCCTAAAACGAGTAGTATGCGGGTTCAACTCCCACTTGAGGTTGGAAGTTTGCATATCACACTGCACTTTTGAATACGCCTTATCTAATCTCCCTAATAAATTTGAAAGAAAATAGGAAAAATAGAGGATAAAGCTTGTTGTGCTGAGCAATCGCCCAGAGAGACTCTTTGTATTCCACTTATCAAGAACGTAGAGTATTGAATGCTAACATGGTCTTGAAATGACATACCTCAAAAAAAAGAAGGCCAACCTGTGAAGAAGTCAGTGCTGCTACCTTCCCATACTAGCCGGTGCCAATTCACCCCTGGAGAGATGAAGGGCGCAGATTCGAATCATTTATCGTGGGTTTATCGATACGTAAGTGTCACAGAGCAGCATTAACCGGTGTACTCCCGCGGATCCAAACTAGGCCTATCGGCAGCTTGAGAACGATTCCACCTCTTCTGCCCCAATTGTCGTCGACCATAACGCCAAATTTTATAATACATTTTGTGATAAAAGTCACTATTACCGATTTGGAGATTTTAGCGTAGATAGATAGATGGATGGATTGATAGACAAATGAGTGAAGTCCCGCTGGTTCCTCATGCATTTCAAGCCGAATTATGGCCTAAAAAAGAAGCATAGTGCAAAATGTTGTGGATTTTGCGATCAGTGTCGACTTGGTCAATTGGCCAAAACACATCCGCTAACACCTCGAAATCGCGATTTCGAACAATTAACGAAGGTCTCACTCCGATAGTCGCCGACTAATTGAGGAGGACGACGTGCAGTCGCTCCCGCGCTGGTGGACAAGCTTAGCGTGTGGCCGTGAAAACCGATCAATTAACCACTTGTCACATGCTCTCAATTCTTGTAGATTAACCTTTCCGGGATGACAGTTGGTCGACCATGCAGTGTTATTCGCAAGCGGCACGCGATTTTAGTTATTCAGTCGGGATTTTCCCTCCATTTGGGAAGCAAAACCTTAGAAAATTTCGTGTAACTGTGATACTCCATGATTTTCTTTACATGGTCATATGTTTTTCGCACATACATAACCTTTCTGTACGATAAAAACTTCGAGTACGAATGGTAATTTTGATTTCGTTCTCACACCGTCTTGTAATAGCCTTTCAAAAACTAACTATGCCATCGGAATCCTCGAGATTTCGGCTAACGAACTACTCACAAGAGCTTGACGAAGAGCCATATCGCAACCCTCGCCGAGCACATAAAACAAAGGGGGTGAAATATAATTCTAATTCTGCTGCTGCAACGTGATGAAAAGGCTTTCCCAAGAAAAAGCATATTGTTGAAACCATAGAGATTTAAGCTACTGAATGATAATTAAGTATCTAAGAGAAAAGCTTATTCAGCGAGAAGAAAGGCCTCCAAACAATCGTATACCTCAGCCGGTACACGTCGTTCCTTGGCTTGGTATTGGTTAATAAAAGACTAAGGATGAAAATTTTCCCTACGAGAAAGGCCTCTTGAAAAGCAGTATATCTGCGGATGTGTGCGGTTCCAAAAGTGTTGAGACTAAGCGCGACATATGAACAAGGACGTACTTATAAGAGAAACTCTGTTTTCCTTTGACCATCTAATTCATTGCCCAGGTGTGGCTTTTGTAAGCCGAGCATCTCAAGATTACGTGGATAGAAATTTATAAATCGTGTAGCGAACCGTGTAATCGATGACATTCACAAAAATTCTATTGCTGAAATGACGATAATCAGTTGAGAAAAAAAAAGAAAATAAAACGCGAGCTGATAGCACCTAAGCTCGAAAACACGGCCGAAGTAAAGATGAACATGGCGATGAGCTTGATGACGCAGTGGCTAAAACCTGAGTCACCAAAGGCATTGGCAGTCGCGGGTTCGAAGCCACCTGAGATCGCTTTACATGGGAAAAAATCAGAGGTAAATCTAGCCGAATCCTACGATTATTGCTTCAGACACCAAGTAAACTGCTTCAGACGAAGAGTTCCACAAAGACAACGAAGCGTAGAGGAATTGACTGCGATCGGGGGTCTCGAATAACGTGCAGGACATTTGACATCGGGTGGGACTGAACCCACGATTGACCCTTATCGAGGGCACCCGCTACCATTGCACCATGAGTGCTGCGCGTTCTATTGTCACGTTTCCATCAAGTAGGTCAGATCGCTCATTAGTCACTCTTAGCAGAGCTTTCATTTATTTCTAGATTTCATAGGTCGAACTGAAAAACTGAAAAAAGCTTGAACTGAAAGAAATCTGAGAAAAAATCGGCAAAACCGGAAATTGTTGTTTGTTGACAGATTTGTTAACAAATTTGTTAACAATTTGTTTTGAAATTGCATGGTTTTGGTAATGTTCGATTACGTATTTTTTATAAACATTTTGGTATACAACTTCCCTATATTTGCAGTAAAATGGGGCTGTCGTGAGAACAAATTCGCTTGTTACTCATGCACGAATGGCGCCTAAGGGAAAATTTTAGTGAAGTGCACGCAAGTTTAGTAGAGCTTATTGTGGACGGCCCGAAGACGACTGATCTTCCGGACTATTCTCTTCGGCTTTGAACTCGCGAACGGTTTCCTAACCATCTTTTCTGCAATTTTGTCATCGCCCATAAGTCCATTAATTTTGCGCGTCGCCTTCACCAGCATTGCGAATTCGTTCTCAAGACAGCTCCATCTTCAAGCACATATAGGCAAGCTGTATACCAAAATGTTCTCAAAAAGATGCTTAATTCAGCTATACTAAAGTTATGCGACCTTAACTACTTTGATTGATGCTCAATGCCAATACTTATAAAGATCTGATCTTTATTGTGAAATTTCAGAGAGAATTGTAGCAGAATATGAGTGCCAGTAGTACAGTAGTAACATAAGCAGTCAGAACACTCAGAGATCGTTTTTCTAGGATCCGGATTGCTGATTTCTGTCGAACAACGTATGAGGGATAATCTACATTCCTTTCTGAGCAGAAGCGAGGTTGCTAACAGTGCAAAGGATAGATTATTCAAAAGAGATTTTGTCTCAGAATATTGTAAAGAACCATCATTGTTCGACTCTAAAGGAATATGTTAAAGTGTCGCTGTCGTGATTTCAGTGAACGTGACAATAAGATTTATCGGACATTATTCAAAGTGTTGCAAATATTTTCTGTGGTGCATTTTGCAAATTCAAGATTGAGTTCTGTAGATGTGGTGGACAACTCCTCTACTACTGAGTTACATGCACTTTGACACTACTGCAGATAAGTTCTCGGTCCACATCACAAAAAAAGACATACGAAGCACTTGAGGCTCACCAAGCTTTCCATTTCTCCGCGGTCGGTTTGATTGGTGTCAGACTTGTCTGCGATGGTGGCAGTACTGACTTAATATATCGAACGGTCACCGCAACTCATCATAAAGGAACGAATCTCGATGAAGCCGGATGAAAAGAGTCTTTCTATGAAATTAGCCAACGCAGAGATCTTTATCCCCTTATTCTATATGGTTTCGCTTTTTTCACAATCATAAAACGAATGAGAATAGGCATATCCAAAGATCCTGAGTGACATGCAAAGCTTTGAACCTCAGTACTGCAGGAAAAATGGTGGCAAAGTAGTGGTCTAGGTGGGGTAGCGGCAACGTGCACCCATGAAACGGGTAAGATGCAAATTCAATCTCCAGTTAAAGTTGGAAATTTTGCAAATAACTCCTTCACTTTCGAATATGCCTTATTTTATTCGTTTTATAAATTTGAAAGCAAATAGGAGACATATAGGATAAAGCACGTTACGATGAGCAATCCTCAGAGAGACTCTGAGTACTTAACTTATCAAGAATCATCAGAGGTCATTGAAAGCTAACATGGTCCTGAAGTGACATGCCGTGAAAAAGAAAGCCTACCGATGAACGAAGTCAGTACTGCTATCTTTCAATACAAGTCGGTACCGTTCACCGCCCTGGAAAGATGGAAGGCGAGGTGAGACTGGAACGCAGATTCGAATCACTTATCAACGATTTGTAGATCACGCAAGTGTCACAGAGGAGCATAAACCGAATCACTCCAGTGAACCCAAACTGAGCGTATCCGCAGCTTGGGAAACGATTCCACCTCCTCTGCCCCGATTGTCGCCGACCACAGTACTACATTTCGTTGCGAGACCGCACGCGAATCAGTCCAAAACTTAGCTGCGATTCTTGCAGCGAAAAGCGTTACTTAAGTCGGCGACTATTCGGGGCAGAGAATGTTCAGTCGTTTCCGTGCTGGTGGACACGCTCAGTGTGGGTTCGTGGAGATCAGTCGGTTAACCACCTGCTAAATGCGCTCAATTCTTGTAGATTAACCCTTTCGTGACGACAGTTGGTCGGCCATGCAGCATGATTAGCAAGCGGCGCGCAACCTTAGTTGTTCAGTCAGGATTTGTCATTCGTTTGGAAAGTAAAATCTTAGAATTTTTGAGTCACTGTGATACTCTATGATTTTTCTCTACATGGTCATATGTTTTTCGCGCATACATGATCTTTCTGTACGATAAAAAGTTCGAGTGCAAAACGTAATCTTCTTTTCGTTCTTACACCTTTCTATGATAACCTCTCGAAAAACTAATTACAGCACCAAAATCCTCGAGATTCGGGCTAGCGAGCTATTTATACAAGCTTGACGAACAGCCGTATCGAAGCCCTCGCAGAGCACATAAAGCAAACTGGATGTGAAACATAATTTTATTTCCTTTGCTGCAACGTGATGAAAAGGCTTTCCCAAAAAAAGAAACATATTGCTGAAACTGCAGAGATCTAAGCTTTTGAATGATTGAAGTACCTAAGAGAAAGGCTTAGTCCGGAGAGAAGAAAGGCTTTAAAACTATCGTATACTCGGCCGCTACACGTCGTCCCTTAGGGGCAAAGCTTGCTAGAGGTTACTATAAGTCTAAGAAAGATATTTTTTCTTATGAGAAAGGCCTCTAGAAAAGCAGCATATATTTGCGGGTGCATGCGGTTCCGAAAGCATTGAGACTAACACGAAGTATGAACACTGATGTACTTACAGAAGAAACTTCGTTTCTCTTTGACGATCTCGAATT